GAGGAGGTGAGGATGGAGACCAGGACCAGGGGAGAGGAGGTGAGGATGGAGACCAGAACCAGAGGAGAGGAGGTGAGGATGGAGATGAGGACCAGGGGAGAGGAGATTAGGATGGAGACCAGGACCAGAGGAGAGGAGGTGAGGATGGTGAGCAGGACCAGAGGAGAGGAGGTGAAGATGGAGAGGGAGACACCAATTCAAGAGATACTGCAAAAGGAAAACCAGATGATTTTGTAACATGAGGAATGTGAAGAAGGAGAAACAGAGTTTGGCCTGGAGTGCCTAGAAACAAGATTTATCTTTACTAAATATCAGGAACAAAGGGAAGAAAAGAAAGTTCAGGGAGAAATCTGAGTCTTTGGAACAAACTGAATTTGAGGTTCTGGCAAGATCCAGGCTGATGGAAACGCGAGCTGGAGTTCAAGAACAATGTCAGGACTGCCACAGAGATGTATTGACCAACGCATCATTTCTTTTTATAGCCTGGGTCCTTTGGTCCCTCCACAGTGACATATGCTTTAAGGTCATAGTCAATTCTTTTCACGAGAAGGTAGAACATGTTACAAATAAGAGCCTTTGACTTCTTCTTGGAGTCATCGGAGGCATCACATTTTATTAATCGCACTTTTGACCTTCTATAATAGATGTTTTATCTGGCTCTTCTATTTAAACCATGGTCCTTTCAGTCATCTTAGAAAACATATAACAGGCTCCCATGATTGAAGAAACTGGGGCCAAGAAAGTGCCAGTGAGTTGGCCAGGCTCACACAGCCAGTTATCCGCATCCTGATTCCTGACCCCCTGCACTTTCCACTGGGGCAAATGGTGCTTTTCAGACCCTACCTGGTGGCATCTCTTGCTCTGTCTCTGCAGTACAGCTTGTTACTTTGCACTCAGAACTGTTCTTTAAAACTCTCATATTCCTGTGGTCTCTTATAGCTTAAGTGTTAATTCCTTCTAACTGAACTTAAAAAAATGTTGCTTTTCTTTCTTACCTTTTTCAGGGCCTAAATATAATCACTTTATTTTTACTCATACCAAAAATATTCTCGGTGTTTGTAACCAGCCTGTAGTTTCGAACACCACGCCCAAACCTCCTTCTTAAATAAATGTTTGTTCCATGTTAATGATTTTAAGAATGGAATGGATTGTCGCACGAGAGATTGTTGCATAAAAATGTACCTGCTGTCAACCTTCATGGGTTCCTTTAACTCCAGCGACACTAAGTGATCTTTTATCTTTCATACTGCTTATGCAACTCAGAGTCCCAGCCTCTTCCACAAGGGGAAAATGAGCTGCATTCTTAGGGCTGGTGAGAAATCAGTGCAAGTGAGGAGAATAAACAGCAATCACACAAGATTCCATTGAAAACATTAGGGTTGCAATGTGTCATTCAAAGATGTTCTAATAAAAGCCCATTGGTCCCCAGCACAGTTTAATTTAAGGCAACCACAAGACACCTTTGCCTTAACCTGGTAGAATTGATGCTTTCTATTAAACTATTTTCTGCTTGTTCCTTCTTTTACTTTATAGATGCCTTGAACCTTCGAAGCCGACAGGTCATCTGCGTCACTCTCAAGGTCCTCCAGCATCTAGTTGTGTCAGCTGAGAAGGTGGGCAAGGCCTTGGTGCCCTATTACCGTCAAATCCTCCCCGTCCTGAACATCTTTAAGAACATGAATGGTGAGTGAACCCACAAGTCTAAATGTCTTTTAAGCCCTTAAAAAAGGCGGGGAGTGGTTTCAAGTAGAGTTAATTAGCAACACATTTAGGATTTATTATTGCATATAAACCACGATCCATTTGGAGATCTAAATAGCATATTCCCACCCCTTCTCCAGCTACTCTCGAGGGAAACAGTAAAATTAACAATTTCATTTAAAACTTCTCCCGTATAGCTTACTTACTCAGTACAGAAGCGCTGAAGCAGTTCTATAAGCTTCCAATAATTAAATTGTGAAGTTTTTTTAATGGTCCTTTGAATACATTAGTAGTTTTGAGTTTGTTCTTTTTCTTCGTAGTGATTCTACCTTTAGATACTTCCTGTTACAATTTCAGTCAGTTTTTTTCCATTGATTTAAGATGTATTTTTAAGCACTATTGTTAAAACCTGGTAAGTGGTTTGATGATTCATTTATTTTTTGTAGTATTGTTCTGTAAGCTTTGGAAAGCACAGATGAATTCAGATAGCTCTATTTTACCCTAACAAAGAAAATAGCAAGTTTTTGCTGACCCTTGGCAGGTAGTGGATGTACATCTGTTCATTAAGAGTGTGATTTCCTTGAAATGATGAGTCTAATTTTCTTTTTTGTTGTTACCTTTGAAGTTCCATACTTCTCATATGCATAGTATAAGTTAACATTGAAGTTCCTTCCTGACAGTGGTATCAATAAGTTGTTGATTTAATGGAGCACTGCATGAAACTTTTGTAACATGATCTGCTCATCACATATTCAAGAAAAAAAATCAAACAAAAATCAAACATCATATATTCAAGAAAAAAAATTAAAAAGCTGAGTTTACGGCAGCTCCTGCCACAAACAGACTTTTGTTTGGAATCACACTTTTTTATATTATTATTCAATGGCTGTTATGCATGCTCTAGGCATAGATATTCAGGAAATCATGGAATTCTCAAAAAGCCTTTAGTTCTCTTTTGATAGTAGAACTGACTTCTGTGTTTAATATTATTATATATTTAAAAAAAGGACTTCAAACTGGAGTTAAAAGAGTTTATGAATGCTTATAATGGAGTGCTTGCAAAGGTATCCTATTCAAATTATCTGAAGAGCTGTGGGTAATGTGGTGGACATTCATGCAAGGTGGTTAGTCTTTAAGCAGAGTAATAACTTTTGGAAAGTACTTATTTAAATATTTTTCATTCATAGTTCATATTTTTACCATAGAGTAGCCGCAAATCTACATAAAGTTATAGAAAACTCCAGATGTGCACCTTGTTCAACTACGGTCCATAAAAGCAACTCTAACTGTACACTTTATATTTAGATTCTGGGAACTTGGAGATAGAGATAAAGATGTTCTGATAGAGATGGTAGCATTATTGAGGAGATGGAAGCATCGGGGAACAGCCACCCGCAAGTCTTAGTTAACATTTTTGAAGTGTGCCATTTGCCAAGATTTCCCCAGTAATCCTCATGCAAACCTATGATGCATGTACTATTACTATTTCCATTTAACTCTTGTAAAGTCGCCCTCTCTTAGCTCTTATCCCATGTGAACATTTGTTTCTGTACTTGACAATCGCGGAAGATGGACCTGAGCACATTTCCCCTTTCTTGCCTGAGTATCTAGGAACCGGTAGCTACTGCAACGCTGCTTTAATGCTTTTGTTGGTTTCACAGCAAAAGCTAGAAATTATATCTAAACATCATTCTGTATCTCTGTATAAAAGTAGAAAATCAGTGGTGTTCAAAGGACAATTAGAATCTTTCTTTATCCTCAAGGAAATCTATACAGATACGTAAATATTGCTGCCACAAAGACAGATAAACCTTGTTGGGAGCTCTAGACTATTAAACAAAACAGTTGGTTTCTACTGCTTCCTCATTATAGTTTTTCTTTAAATCTTTAACTCACAGGTGTTCATATGCTTAATAAAGAAAATGGTTGACTTTAAGAATAAATCCCTATTAAGATTTTATCAATGCGGGAAATGTAAAGTTCATACTATGGTCCTTAATTGGTTCCAAACTCAGCTAATTCTTTTGGAGTCTTTCTAAATGCATGCATCAGGAATTCTACATTTAAATTATTTTTCTGCTTAACATTTTTCTGACATTTGAAGGGAAAAATGTTAGCTTCAGCTTCATTTTCTACTTATCTTAGGAACCTGTCACAACAATGCCAGCCCACAGTTTGCTGTATTTTCAGAGGGTCCTATTACAAAATTGGAGCATTCTAGCTATAGAAACTTAAAACTGTTCCTCAAAGTAGCTATGTTACCCTAGTTCCAATTCTTTCAGAAAAAGCTTATCACAAGATTTTCAATTATGTTAGAATTTTCATTAGAAAAATGATTTAGCTTTAATAACATTTTAATAAATCCTGCTTTATGATATAGATCACAAAATTATATGTAAGCAGATGTCCTAGTAACAGATATACTATTTACAATTAAAATTACATTAGAAATTGATCATATGTAATGTTAAAAAAAACTCATTCTAAATTTCAATATATTTGAGAACAATTTCACATTTCTGTATTTCCTCTGTTTTCTATTTGTCTTTTATGTAAATCAATGTCTCGTTAAACTCAGATTCAAACTATTTCTTTCAAGCTTCAGTACAAAATCCTTTTTAGAAGGACACCAGATACAAGTGACAAAAAAAAGAATGAGAGAAAATATTCTTTCAGATAAAATGACCCTGTCTGTCAGTATCCCTTCAGAGTGCAAACATTAGATCAAGACTACTGCCTGAGGTTTTTTTTCAACAATCTCTCCTGTTTTAATGTCACATGAACTTCCTCTGAAATAAGCAATGGGGGGCTGCATAGCCAGGGCCCCGGACATTGTGGCAATTGCCAGCGTGAGGAGCCCAGGCTTCTGGTCTTTTCAGGGACTAGTTGGAAATCAAGTAGGGCAGGGAGAAACAGTCTGTGCTCACAGCACCAGTTCAGGCCCCATCCATACCACCATAACAACGAAAACTTAGAACCAGCCCCACTAGACCCTTCTTGTTCTAGAAGAGAGAGCAGCTGTATACTCTTGTGTATTAGTAATACTTTTCACAGAGTTTAATTCGGCTATAGTTAAAACAAGAACAGATAAATCTGAAATGTGAATGGTAGTGTAGAATAAACAGGAACATTTTGGAGCCAGAAGAGATGTGACCTCAGGCAAATCCCTTAAAGTCTCTAATCATAAATTTTTCTGTCTATACAAAACATGTATAATAACAACTTTTCATTAGGATGGGCATCATTAGAGACAGTGTGTTCTGCGCACCTTCACACGGAGCCTGTCCATGACTGGGTATTAATGAGATAGCCATTATAGTTATACAAAATTATATACCTATACAATATCATACACACAGAGTAGTGTATATTATAGAAGAATACCACACTATATGAATTGTTATATAACAACATAGCCAGGCAACTGAAAATGTTGTGTGTGACCTGTCACACTAACTTGTTGGGTGACCTGTCGCTTGGCCCTCTGTGAGCCTGTGAAGGCCACGTGGCCTCCTGGTCTCACCAGCTGCATCAGTGCCTTTGCTTCAAATGGTTCATTTTGCCTCTAATTGCCAAATGCAGGGTGAGTTGCCAAATCAGTTAAAGACTCAGATTCGTTCACTGGTAACAGGTTTTCAAATCCATCCTTTCCTGGCATAACCTTTCAGCTTGAATATGTGTCCGGTGTTTAGGGAGCATCATATTTAAAAAAGAGAGAGCTCTCTCCAGCACAGACAAGGAAATCCTGGACCAAGGCCCTCTTTGGAACAACCAAACTGGTATCTAAGCTTTTGACCTTGTCTCCTTGCGTTCTAAAAAGTGAATTTTGGGTGTAAAACATGCTGTGTTTCCAGTGACTGCTTTGAGGGGAAAGAGGAAAAGGAGTTTCTATAAAATATTCCTTGAATGCATTTGTCATACAGCCAATAGCAATTTATTCTTTCCCCTGTTCTTTCACAAATGTTATTAAAGGTTACAGAAAATTAAAACAATAGGAATCTTCAATTTATAGCTTTCAGAGATGAAACTACAAAATTAATGATGCAGAATATTACATTTGAGAAGCATGAGCCAATAAATGGCATTAAAGCATTTACAGCTGGAATATGGGCTCTGCCAGCAGATTGGAGCTCTCCCGTAGGCCTGTTTACTGCATTTTGGTTCATTTCTAACAGTACCGAGAGTCCTGAAACTGTCCCTACCTCAGACTTCAGACTCCAGATCTGATACTCTGATAATGTCATAAATTTATATCATGAAATATGCAAAAGTAAACATAATAATGAAATATCATGTCCCCATGTTTATAGAACTCAAATAGCTTGGCTTTATCTAAGATAAACCTAAGACGTATACCATTACAGACTAATAAAAAGTCCATTAAAGAGACTTAAAATTTTAATTCAGATTCAGGCACATTAAAACATAGGGAATGAGGATGCCTGAAGTTTGCAAAATTTTAGGATGTTTATACCAAGTCTTTGACCTGTAACTTAAATGGCTTTTAAAAAAATGGAAATAATTATTTTATTCTGATCATCTTTTAAAACAACTTCTAATGAGAACTCTAAGCCTTGTAAGTCAACCTGATGCAAATCCTCCTTGCTAACCCTCCTTGATATTCGTGTGAGTTCCATGGGACCAATTCTCATGTTCTTTTCAAGCATTAATGAACTTTTGGGAATGGATTGTTTACCAAACAACCACAACAACAAAACCTTCAGTTTCTCTGTCTCAAAGTTGATATATATAAATGTTATTTCTCCTCACAGAGATTTAAATTTAATTTTGGAATTAAGGTTCATTCCCCATGGAATTCGAACAATTTTGAGTTCATGATTTACATCTTAGAAATTTGCTTCGAAGTTCCTTTGAAATCATTAAATATATTAAATTTGAACCATGAGATTATCCTAAATTCATTGAGGAAATTATTAGAACTACTGCCACCCACCTTTCTGAAAGTTAGATTTGCATATATC